GCAGCAGATGTGAAATCTTACCGGGCGAGCGACGAACCGTGAACCGTGGTCTCCGCCGTTTCTTCTGAAAACCGCTGCAGCAGCAGCTGCAGACCGACGTCTCGTCGTCCAGCGATATCGTGTCACCGTGGTTGCCTACTTGGCCCGACAGTATCGAGCCGTTCGCCGTTATTACGTCGCCCTCCAGGCGCACTGCTCCTTGCGCAGCCTGCGTCATAACAATTTTCTTTTTTGTGTCTCTGTCATCATCCGGAATCGTTATGCCGCGAACACGTTCGGTTGTTGATTCGGCGAATTCTACCATCGAAACGTGTTCGCGTGGATTTCGACTGGGTCAGGTTTGATTTTGTGAAAGGGAGGTTGAGAGAGTGGAATGAGGCATTTTGTTGGATGCTTTTCTTGTATTGATTTGGTATAGCTGGCGGGGTTCAAAGTACGCGGAGGTTGGGTACCAACCCTTTGCGGTCCGGCGTCACGTGTAACCGTTAAAACGCCATGTATTACTTGGTCGTTCGAAAATATCATGGCGATCTTATTATGGATACGTCGTAAGTGGTGAAACGTTCGAACAAATACTGCTTTTAGTTGGATATTGAGTTAAGGAGAAACGCAGAAAGGGAAACTGAGAGATATAAATAAATATTCGTTTCTATAACAGGTTTCTTTTTTTCAATGAGACAATGGCAAATCTTATATGAGCCATTCGGAAGCCATAGTGATCAACTCCATAAATTGAAATACAGAGAAAAGTGACGATGTTGCAAACGGTATTTTTTAAATTTGTTTTGGAATTTGCTATTATTTATGGGAGTAAGAAATTTGTGTTTTGAGAATTGAACATTAATCGTAATGTAATTTGTCAAAACGTATTTACATAATGAAATTGAGAAATTGATAAAAATTGAGTTGATAGGTTCTACTTTTGAAAGGCTGATACGTATGTATATGTAATAATATTGAAATATTGTACGTAATTTTCTGTCTATAAGTTGTATAATTTGAAGTTATAGTTCAAACTACATTTTGTAACAGATACAGTTTGACTTCATTGAACTCAGATTATAAGTCTTGCTACGGCCGCGACTCGATGTTTTAATGCAAAAGATTAAGTAAACAAAATTTTAATCTGTTTCATTTTTGTACATTATGCTCTCGTCGTATATCGGGATTGTTGTTTTATGCAACCAAATTAAAAATTCAAGTTTTACCACATTTACTTTGCATCGAATGTTTAAAAGACAAAATGACGTGTCTATTCTTTATCAACAACGAGAGAAAATTGCATTTTGTTTAATAAAGTATTACTCGATGAACACAGACCGCAGAGGGTTACTAAAATTTCTTTATCAAGGACATAAGAAGTCGATTTTAAATTACTAGATTTCATTCACATCGAACGTATCTTTCGCATAGCTTTGCATATAAAAGGATTAAGGAACACGTTCTTCCGTTTTATAATATTTCAATTATTAATTTTGTGCTTCATGCAAAAATAACTATTTTTACACAGATTATTAAAGAGGAATGCGACAGAAAATAAATTATTTATTCATTTAAAAAATATTTATCGAACTACTATCGGAAAATGATCCGATGAATTTAATGATCAAAAGCAGGGAAAAAGAATCAATTAATCATTAAAAAGGTGTTTCAAGTTATTATAAGAAAACGACGGAGATATTTTCCCGGATCTAAAATATTTTCTAAAAGATCAATACTTTGATGGACGACGTAAAAGCTGGTGCGATGTTTCCTTACCTGTAGAGCTTCGGCCTCGTCTCGCCTTTCGTCCTCCGTATTCATTGTGACAAATCTCAGCACCAATAAATTGAGGGAGGCGGCGACGATGGCTAAGCCGAATAAAATGAATATCAAGGCGAACATCACGTACTCAGGCTTGTTGTTCAGCGCATTATCCTTTTGTAGCGCGACCATGTCGCCGAAGCCAATGGTTGTCAGGGTGATGAAACAATAGTAGATGGAGTCGAAATATGACCACCCTTCGTACCGAGAGAACGCCGCGGCACCTCCCGCAATCGTTAAGCAAGACAAGGTCGTCACCACGCAGATAAGATTTATTTCTGAGGCCTGAAAATTACACAATTTTCGCTATTGCTTTACTCGTTCTCAGATAAACGGCCGTTTTAACTGCGTCGAAACGTTTCATAGTACTTTATTAATTTCGCTCTAATTGTAAGATACTCTTATCAGCAGCTTACGTTCGCAGTAGTCTGATTTATTATTATGAAACTTTGTTGTTGCAAAGAAGAATATTTTATAATCGAATCAGATTGAACTTCTTTTTCTTGACTAAGTTATAATGAGCATTAGGATTGGCAGGAAACTATGTTTCGGTAATATCGATATTGATTTTATTATAGGTAATTGTATCGTAAAAGCATTCGACTGGTACAATTAAATTAAATTTGTTCTTTTTTGAATAGAAAAAGAAAATTTTGTAGCGAGATAAATTGTAGTAACGAAACTTGCAAATTTCAGAAAACAATTGTATACTGATGAATTAAAAAATATATCTTGGAAAGTTTATGAGAAGTTAAAATTATTTTGATATATATAGTTTTATTGTAAAATTAAACGATCGGCACCAATAGTAGCATTTTTCGTTCCTCAATGGAATATCACCTATTCCAGCATCTAAATTTTGAATCCAATTGCATCAGACTGGAACGATCTTTTGTATCGATTGTTCTCGACATGAAGTATGCAAGAGCAGGTGGTGTTTATAGTTTTACCTGGACATCCTTACAGTTAAGAAGCTTCTTTACGTTCCGTATTACGACGGATGAGAATTTATTCAGACGCTCTCCTATGCTCTGGAACATTACGAGTCCTAACGGGATACCGACGATCGCGTAGAACATCGTGAACAGCTTGCCGCTAATGGTGTTCGGCGTCGAATGTCCGTAACCTAAAAATCAATGGATAAATACACGGCATAATTCGATAAATGTAATAAACGAATTTGCTCGCCATATGTAGTAGTAAAAATGAAATATCAAAGAGCAAATGTTTCAAACGAAGTACATTGTAATGGAACGAAATCAGGATGCATTTGACGTTAATGAATATCCAATTTTTTGAAATATTTATTTTGACAGGGGACCTGATGCAGTTAGCCCTTTTGTTACAACATCGCTGATATTGGAAATATTTTTTGCGTGCAAATCAAAGCAATTTTTGTCGATGACGATGCATATTAAAACAGTTTGTATAATTCTATTCTTTATTTCTATTATTACTATTTATTAATATTAATTGTATTATATATAGTATAACACATAGAAATGAAAATAAAAATGATTCTATGTTCCAGAGAACATATACCATACACTTTTAATAAATGATTGTTTTATATTTTAGTAGCGGAAGGGTTAATGATTCATTGCATGAAATAATTGTTCAACGAGAATATGTTCTAAATCAGACAAGATTTTAGGAATGAGTGTGTCAGGATACATCTATTAGATCATTCTAGATAGTATTATAGAAAAATGTAATTAATTAAAACGTACCGATTGTGGTGAGGACCGTGATCGCATAATAAAACGCTCCGGCGAATTTCCACTGCTGACCAGCTTTATGAGGTTCCGTCTTCAGCACCACTGTTTCCATGATCTTGAAGTCGTCCTCGCTTATATTGTACTTGCGTATAACCATCTTTTCAATGTCTGTTAACAAAAGATGGAAAATATATATTTCTTCACATTTTATTACGTGTTGCACTTTTTAATTGCAGCAAGTTATTTTTATTAATACTTACATGTATATTTGCATACGTATAACATATTTCTCTCTAATATTCAATATTTTTTAATATAGTTATAGTTAGCAGATTACAGATTATAGTTATAATTATACCTTAAACGAATTTTTTAATTATAGTTCCATGAAAATTATAAATTAGTTTGCAGATTTCCAAATTCGGAATTCGAGATTAACAGTATGAAATACGAACAAATGACAGAGAAGCAATTGGGAAGTTTATTTTATTTATGTAAAGCGACGGAAAGTCGATATTTTAAATAAAATTACATTTTAAGCGTCTGATCTAATCTAAACTTCCTGAATGTAACAAAATCCAGTTTGAGTCATGAAACTTTCAAAAATATCGCTACTTTCCTTTTCTTTCCTAATGAATCAAAGATTACAAATATTTAATAAAATTAAATTATAGTATTATTGCGTCAAAGCTTGCAATAACATAATTTAGATGTCGTATCAATTATTCCACCAAGTTCCTTGATACGATTCCTAAGTCTACACATTGATAGATGATACAATTTTAAAACCGGACCGATTACCTCATTCATCTATAAAACATTTACGATAGATACGAATATAAAAATACAACTCAAAATATAAATTATATTACTTCGCATATTATGTAACTCACGGCGAACGTAGTTAATTAGACAATTCCAAAGAACTAAATCTTATTTGCCTCGAATGATAAATATAGGAAATATAGGAATATATATCTGAATATATAATTATATAGGAATTATATATAGGAAACCTTTTATTCTGTTTCATCATCTAATAATTAATAATCACCGTCATTATTCAATTGACTAAGCTTTTCGAGTTTTTCTTTTATTCATCGACATTACTAAAATTTCGCCAACAAAAGGATTCTAACATCGATGAATTTATCGAACTCACAGGATATTCCATAGAGAACAAATATTCCAGTAGAACAAATGTTCCAATAGAACAAATATTTCAATAAAAAAATATTCCAAATAGAAAACATTTCTTATAAAAAGGTTCAATCGTTGTCTTCTTTAATCTATATCTATCAACAAGAAATGTACCGTCCAATGCTTCCTTGCGTCGTTTCTCCGTCTCGGACTCGAGAACGTCGAAGATTGCAGCGCCGACGAGGAGGTAGGTGAACGTGAAGACGATCAACGATAGGGTCCGGACGTTTTGCTTCTTCATTCTCTAGTGAGCCACATGCTCACTAGCAGGGCCCCGGCCCTAACTACTTGCATCGCTCAGTGGGGTACGATTTGGTGTGCCGGGCCCATGACGACCCCTTCTCCTTTCTGATGATGCTCGGGGGGCCCTTCTTCTCTTTACCGAGCGCTACAGACCCGGCACGCGACTCCTCTTCTTCAGCGTGTTTTCTTCCTTGCAGAGACTACCTTGTAGCCGCTTTCGTTCATCTAAAAAACGTGTTCATATCTCTATCAAATTGTTGTTTAAATTAATCGTAGTATTTTTGAGGAGATTCGAATGATATTCCGTTTGGTTGGTTGTATTCTCTCGCAATAAAATTAAAATATTCACCTTTCTTTTAATCTTATTAAAAGATTAAATATACAATATTTAACTACTAATTTAATTTCACGGATTACATCATTTCATGGAACAGAAGTCCGTAAATCATTAGAAACGATTATTTAGAGATAACTTAAACCAAAGTAAAATTTTGTCAGGACAATTTTCTTCAGCGACGATAAAAATCAAATTTGTACAGTGATAGAACGATACGATAAGCGAAACGAATGGACACGCGAACAAGGAAAATAAGTTGAGGCAGAGGAGCCTTTTTCGCATGAACTCCGGATATTCGTATTGATAATGCAGTTCGAGGGCTACCGGAGGATCTCTTTTCAAACGTCCCCTGAACGTTAGTCGCGGTACGACGTTAGGGGTTCCGAAGATATAAAAAGGCATAATCGCGTCCTTGCCGCTAAAACGGGGTTCTTTTGAGAATCGTCCTTTTCTCCTTCGAGTGACTTCAACCGAGAGATATCCGTGAGGAGGCTAGGTCGAGCAAAAAATCTGCTGATGTAGAAGAACTCACCTGCAGCCTGTTCCGGGTTCTCTTTTACGTACGACAAAGGGTTGAGCAGAATGATATGGCAGTGCTTTCGCTGCTCCCACTGCCACGTTCCCTCCATTCCTCAGCTTAGCACCCAACGTTTTCAGTGCCGACTAAAACCGAGCAATTGAATTTTCATAAGTTTTTGCTCTTCGCTTCTTGGGAAGATTAGAATAATTGTTTCAGTTACAGATGTAACAGCGTGAACTATTTAATATAAGGGTCACACGAGAGAAAGTGATAAATCCATATTTGTTAATCTTTTAATTGGAAGCAAGATTTGAAATGGCTTGTTTAGAATACAATTGTCATTGAAAAACAGAAAAGCTTAGGTTCGACTGGGTCTAGAGAAACGTTCAAACATTATTAAATCTTCTTTATTTATTATATAACGTAGATAGATCCTTATTGTTTTAATTATATAATATGCAATAATTAGATTATGAAAAAAAAAGTTGTCTTACGTTCGTCTGTCTTTCAAGGAGAGAAATATTATTTTGAGATAAAAGTTCCACAGTAATGGAACAACGTGAAATACAGTTGTTTGTTTCATTTCCAACATTGTATTCGTCCTCGAAGAATTCTTTAATATTTGTGATTGCTTAATCGTTTCTAGAATAAAGGAATTAAATATTTCATGTTATTAAATGTAAAACGAATCGTTCAAAGAGGGGAGCAGAAAAGTGCGCTCCTGTCGGACTTATCGCGATTATTTCTTTAAATGTCAAAGACTGTGGCCTAGATAGGAAATCGAGCAAGAATTACAAGTCGGTGCACCTTTAATCTGTTTCACGTCGGCCTTTCCTGCTCGGACCGCCGCGTTCTCTGCCCGCATCGGTTCCACGAACTCTCATCTTAATGGATATCGATTAACGACGTGAGAACGATACATCAAAGAATCATAACGCTGTCGTACAGGAAGTTAAGTAAGGATAAAAATAAACGCGTGTATTTTATGCGAAGAATAATGGCTGTGACCGTGCAATCTTAGAAAATTGCTATGATATAGGTGAATTGCTTTTAAGTAGTCAGACACCTGTTTATGTTTGAGAGGATGCAATATAATTATAAAACTTTCATTAATTAGTAATTTCACGATTAATAATAGCATCCATGTTAATTAAATTTTAATGGAGAATTTTCAAAAACGCGTTAAGCTGAAATTTATGAATTAATCTTGTAAGTGCAATAACCTTAGAGTTATCGGATCGTGAATTTTTTTTTGTTCATGAAAAAAGACGCATCTTGAATATAATCGAGCGACGTCGTCCATTTGCCAATGGATTTTCTAGGCTACCATGAATACATGAATAATACATATTCCTGCGTAACAGGAGTCCGGCGAGTACTCATTATTGTTCCCTCAGCCTATTAAATCTGGATTTACGCTAATGGTCCGCGCTTTGTGACGAGGACCATGTCACGTTTGTCAGCCACGATGAGCCACGTTTTACTTTGTGTCGACGCGCGTTTATCGGCAAAAGTCAACGCCGGACGTTCGCATAAACGTGGTCGCAGCATCATGTGCCGTTGTCACGTGTTTAATTATATTCCTCTTGTGCACACCGTGATCTGTCTCCTATCGTTCGAGCCTGGATATTTTACACTACGAGAGCGAAAGCGACGCTCATGGATAATTAACACGATTTTTATTTAATTTTACCATCATTTCGTTCCTGATAGAAACGAAAAATTTAAAAATATTACTGTGAGATTATTTCGCTGTTAATAACGTTATTACTAAGTATAGAAAGACATCACTTTAGTTCTCCATTTTGTACTTTACGTGCTTTTCTTAGCAAAACGTATCTAAGTAGATATATCTTTATAAAAACACCATATACCATTAATTTTTTGTTCTTAAAAAATTTGAATGCTACAATTGATCATCAACTTCGGCACGCTTTTGAATCGAAATTTTTTTAAATCAAACTTTAATTTGAAAAAATAAATGATTATAAATATTTGTAAATTTATTTATACGTTAACGTGTTTATTCGTTTCTCAATTTTTTATCGATGGCAACGATATGAAAAACAATTTTCACATTATCAATCTTGTTGTATCGTTATCAGTGGAGTACAAAGGGTCGGAGCCTTTGATGAAACGAAAATTGAACTAGGCAACGTACGAGCAAACTTCATCTATACGTCATGACTAAGGTTTTCAATCTTGGCTCACAGTGTCTCTTCAGGAAAGTGCTGTAAAAGAGCCCTTGGGATCTAGAAGCTCTTGATTACGCCATTTAGGATACGACCAGAGCATTTCCAATAAGTCGACTTGCGTTTTATAGGAATCCTTTGTATTCATTCTGGTTGCTGTGCTATTTACATATATTTAAAATCTCCTTGATAACAAATAATAAAGATATGAATGATAAATGCTAAAGAATATCAGAGAGGGTAGTTAAGAATTAAGATAATACTATTACTTTAAGAACACAGATAAAAAGTTCATTGGGCAAATGTTTAATCTTCTGGTATTTTAATGACATCCTATTATAATCCTTAATTATCTGGACGCCAAACCGCATTGAGGGTATCAAGGGTTGAACTTAATCGAAGTTTATCAGAGTGAGCTTTTATCTGAAAGTATTTACTGTACACAGGAAACGGCTAAACGAGAATTTCACGAACAAGTACTTAGATAGAACTGCCGCGAAGTAACTCGAGTTAAAATAAATGAAACGCAAGATGCAATGGCGATCCTTTGTGTTTAAATCGAATCCACTTGCTTTTCGTGTAATTGGTGGATATGTATCTTTCACTACTGATAGCTACCTTTTCTTTGCGTCTTTCATCTACTTTCTTGATGCTTTCGTCTTTTTTTATCCTTCCGTAAACAGAATGTTGTTTATTTACAAGAGAAAAAAATCATAGTAATATTTAGTTCAATTTAAAATCGGGGAATTAATAATTGTTACAAATAAATCATTTGATATTTTCTAGTGGTCTACTAATAACATACAATAGTGAAATGACAGGCAGAAAATATCATATTTTCAGAACGTGGACATACGAATACGTAATTTTTGAGTTACATAATGTTTTAAGGTAACGCACTAGTTGGGAATTTCGTAAAAGAAAATAATGAATGAAAGAATATAATTTATCGTTCCATAAATTTAATCTAATTCTTATAGAAATTGTATACAATTATTTTTTATGTACTTTGAGGGAAACAACCGAAATAAAAGTTTTTTTTTATTTAATATTTCACATTCACAATTTGTCCAATTTGGACATTTGGTAGAATTTTTTAGCTGTTTGATTATCATGTGGGTGGCTACCCCCAGCAGGGTACCAACTTCGTGTATCCTTTATGAGATCTGCTGGATATTTCCTTTTTAGTTCCTTTCTATGCTTGTGTTGATCGTTTCCGGTTCGGGTGCATTGCTATTCTTTCTCTGTATCTTCTTGCGCATCTGTTAATCTCCTCCTTGACCGTTGGTATTCCCAGGTCTTTCCGAATGTCCTCGTTTCTAACGTATCATAGAGCGTTTACTATTGTTCTAAGAATTTTAGCTTGCATTGTCTCTATTTTGCTTATATGGCTCATTGCTGCTGTTCTCCATAGTGGTATTCCGTACGTCCAGATTGGTTTCATGATCGTTTTGTATACTTTTAATTTATTTTCTATGCTTAATTTGGATTTTCGACTTGTTAGTCAATGCATTTGTCTCGTTGCTGTCTGTATTTTGTCTATTATTGATTGAAATAAAAGTTTGATTTTCTTTTCGCACCTTACTTTCTGAATTTTTTATTACTTACACTCGTGTTATCGATAGTTCTAATTTTAACACTAATGCATCTGTATTTTATTTTTACAATAAAAATAAAAAAGGGACAGTTAAGAAATGTCCAGCATCGAGTATAGAATATATCTCATTTTCAGTATTATCTTTATTATCTCTTTATATATTTATTTTGCAAATCAACTTGGAATACAAAGCTAACTTTCATCTTCGGCAGTTTCGATGGCACCAAGATTATCTGAAAGATTAATCTATTAATAAGTGACTGACATTTTGAAATGTTTGACGCTCCGTTGTAAAACACAAGGACTTGCTGTTAAAGTACGTATATTTTTGGAAGTGACTGGTGTGATAGTAAATTTTGTAACTGCATTCGAGGCTAACTGCACGAGAGCCAAAAGCCTGGGACCATTTGGTTGGTAACTTCTAAGGTTAATTTTGCAAGGACGATTCGTGATTGCTCGTATAATCCTACTGCTAGCTAATTCGTTCTCCTGACAGAATTTAGTCTGCTGAATTTCCGGTTAGTGGCACGAAATCTCGACTGCTTCATAAAATTTGCAACAGGGAACGGCAGGAGTACACAGAATTTCATTCTCTGGGTTTCTATCTTGTAGTAATACTAATTTCCGTGTCCATTCTATCTCGTCTAAAATTGGCCATTGACTTGGTTTCTCCTATTTTATTTTTTATTATTTTATTACTGTATATTAGGTACTATGTTATTTGGTTTGCATGCATTAAAGTCGATACCCTATTTTACAAGTTGCAAGGGTTATGAATATTCAAAGCAAACAAGGTTTGATTTTAAGTTTATTTCGCATCCACGCTTAAAAATTCTTATTGATATCCCTAGCATTAATAAAATTGGCAAGAGATTCAACAAAAATTTAATTGATGGAGTGATTCCAAAATTTTGGCTCATATCATACATATGTGTTATAAAAAATAGTTAATAGGTTGAAAATATTGCTATCCTGAACATTCTAACTATTATCTTGTACACTTTTCTTAGGAAGAATTTCATCGGGTTTATTAGAAACTCAGATTGCTTGTTGTAATTTATTCGAGTTTCTGTCATCTTCGTTATTAAAGGACACCAGGGGACTGAAATTGAAACCTCGTTACCACTAATGAGTTGAATTTCGCATCATATAACTAGGAATCAGTAGGAGAGCATGGAATAATGACCGGATTTACGACTATCGTTTACAATGCGACTACGCTATCACAATCATACAACTGACATTAACGTTAACACAACCGATCGTGCTAAAGTTAGTTTATAATCAAAGTTCCAGCTTTAACATTAAGAGTGTATTATGCTGGCCCTGTAACTTCAAAATGAAAAGCGACACG